AATTCACCTACACGGGAGGAAGAGGGAATACGGTCATAGACTACGTGATAGCAGATAGAGAAGGGAGGAGGAAGATAGAAAGGTTAGAAATAGGAGATGAAATAGATTCGGATCACCATCCGATGGTGGTATCGATAAGGGAGGAGGGGAGGTAGGGGGGAAGGGAAGGAAGGGGAGAGGGGATAAAAAGGGGTAGATGGGATGTGGAAGGAAGAGAGAGGTTTAGGAAAGGAGGAGGGAGGAAAAAGAAAATAGGATGGTTATGGAAGGGAAAGAGGCTGGAGGAGGTGAAAAAATTCAAGTACCTAGGATACTGGATACAAGGGAATGGGGGGCAAGAAGAGCAATTGAGAGACAGGAGGAAAAAGGTGGTGTTAATGAGAGAAGTATGGGGGATAGGGAAAAGGATATGGGGAAAAGATTGGAAAAGGAGAATGTGGCTATTTGATACATTGGTGTGGACAGTAGCGGGGTATGGAGCGGAAATATGGGGATAGAAAGAGAGAGAAGAGATAGAAAAAATGCATGAAAGGTATATGAGATGGACAATGGGAGTGGACCGAAGGACGTCGGGATACATGATAAGGGAAGAGCTGGGAAGGGAGATGATGAGGACAAGAGCAGGCAGAAGAGCATGGAATTTTGAGAAAAGGCTGGAAGAGGGGAGGGGGGGAGATGGCGAGGAAATGCTGGGAAGAAATGAAGGGGAGGTGGGGAAGAGGAAAGATAATAGGGAGATGGGAAAGGGAAAGACAGGAGTTCAGGAGGGAGAGGGGGATAGAAGAGGGAGGAGAGGGAGGGATGGAGTATAAGGAGGTAGAGGAGAGGGAGAGAGAGAGACAAAGAGAGGAGAGATGGAGGAAGATAAGAGAGTCGGGATATAATGTATGGTATAAGGAGATAAGAGGGGAAGGAGTGCCGAAATATCTGGAGAGGGGGTTGATGGAGGAAAGATGGAAGAGAATAATTCGGTTCAGATTAGGTAGTGAGGTGAGAGGGGGGAGGTATTGGGAGGAGGAAGAGAAAAGGAGATGTAGGGTTTGTGAGGGGGAGGAGGAGACATAGGAGCATATATGGGAGACGTGTGGAAGGGGATGGAGTTGGGAGGGGGTAAGTTGGCAAGAAGCGGTAAGAAGGGTGTTGGGAGAGGAAGGAGAGGGAGAGGAGTGGATGAGAGGGATAGAGGAGATGAGGGGAGGGAGGGGGAGGATGGGAGGGGAAATATTCATATTTTTCTGCATTATTACTCGATTTTTCGAATAATTGTGGGAATGTAAATGTATGAGAGGATGAAAAAACTGTTTCGGTAGACAAGCGGTATTACAGAACGATCAGCATAACCGACATCACGAGAAACGAGCCGACGCGAGAGATGTTGCTAGAGCATCAAGAGAAGACGCGAGCGAGAGCGGCACTCTTGATATCGAGGGCTGGTATAGCGCGACGACATCCAAGCGCGAAGCAATTTGTCGCGAGGCCGATAGCTCGAGCCGTCACCTTTGAACCGGCATTTGTTTTCCGCTGCTTGGACGGAGATGTATGTGTGTGCGTGTGTGTGGTGACCTATAAGAGCGATCCCACAGGAGCGAGGCAGTGAGTAATGTCGTGGTCGGCTTGTTAAGAGGACACCCGACGTAGAGTTAGCTGTCTGTTTTAATATATCTAGTTTTTATCCGAAATAAAGGATTTCTTTTGACATCACCTTCAAAAAATCCCACATAATGGCATATTTCTTTCACAATCATTTTCCATTAATTGTACATGAATAGATGAACTTCTAGCAGAATCATGTTTTATATTTGATGTCTGTAAAATATTATTTGCAATACAAACTGATTCTGTTTCATCAACAAACGGAAGATTATCGCTATTAAACACATTTTTATCGAAGATGTTGCATGGATCTACTTTCATCCTATTATCATATGGCTGTACATATTATAGATTTTGTCGATAAGCTACTTTAATATGCTCCTGGATAATACGTCTTTGGTGCCTACGTGAACACTGCTCGTAAGGCTTTCTTCTATACTCTTTATCTACCATTTTTTGGATTTACATCAGAATAGTATAAGTTTAACTCTTACGTATTATATACTTGATGCGTCGTAAATATTTAAATGCTTTGAGAAAATATTCGTTAAAATGTATTAGGTGCGCAACTAAGTTCCCGCTGTTTTTCAAGAGATGGCTCCAGTAGTAAGTGCTGGTCGATTGTGACATAACCAAAACGTCATGAACCAAGCTTAGACATATGGTAAACAAACCGCTTTGACACATTAGTGATTTTGTTTTCATATACTTTTGGTTGTGTGAAAATGTCTTATTTTGTGCCAAATAATCGTCATTTGCGGGAAGTGTTGCTTTTCTTCTTTCATTCGAAGAAAACGGCGGCTGAAGCGCATCGAGAACTCCAAAAAGTTTACGGAGATGCTGCTCTAAGTGAAACAACGTGTCGTGATTGGTTCCGTCGCTTCAAAGACGGTGATTTCGATGTTGACGACCGTTCGCGTGAAGGAAGGCCAAAAACCTTCGAAGACGCTGAATTGGAGGCATTGCTCGATGAGGATCCGTGCCAAACGCAAAAAGAGCCTGCTTCAGCATTAGGAGTTACCCGCCAAGCCATTTCCAAGCGATTGCATGCGTTGGGAATGATTCAAAAACAAGGAACTTGGGTTCCTTATGATTTGAAGCCAAGAGACGTTGAGCGTCGTTTTTTCGCATGTGAACAACTGCTCCAGCGGCAAAAAAGGAAGGGTTTTCTTCATCGCATCGTTACGGGTGATGAAAAATGGATTCATTACAGCAACCCAAAGAGAACAAAATCATGGGGACTGCCCGGTCATGCTTCTACGTCGTCGGCTCGGCCGAATATTCACGCTGCGAAGGTTTTGCTGTGTATTTGGTGGGACCAGGGCGGTGTTATTTATTATGAGCTGTTGAAACCGAACGAAACCATCACTGGGGAACGGTATCGAACTCAATTGATGCGATTGAGCCGAGCACTGCGCGAAAAGCGGCCACAATACGAGCAGAGGCACGAAAAAGTGATTCTACAGCATGACAACGCTCGGCCTCACGTTGCCAAACCCGTTAAAACCTACTTAGAAATGCTCAAATGGGAAGTCCTACCCCACCCGCCATATTCCCCAGATATTGCGCCGTCCGATTATTACTTGTTCCGTTCGATGGCACATGGTCTGGCTAATCAGCAGTTCCGCTCATATGGAGACATCGCAAAATGGCTTGATTCGTGGATAGCCTCAAAAGACGAACACTTCTACCGTGACGGTATTCGAGCTCTGCCAGAAAGATGGGAAAAAGTTGTCGCTAGCGATGGGCAATATTTTGAATGATTCATTTGTAACCATTTTTTCACAATAAAGTTGCATTTTCATCAAAAAAACAGCGAGAACTTAATTGCGCATCTAATACAACAATTTTTAGTATAATTTTTCTTGTTTGTGATGTTATAGGTTAAGACGGCCGCAGCAAGTACCCGGGAGCTTCAATGTTTATAGTTTCTTTTCACGGTTATTACTTTTCTAGTTATCACTATTACAAAGTGTTATAAAAATTAATATTTTTTAAACACATCTGATTTTATTTCAAATAATAGTAATAATGTATTCAAATTTCAGCTCTCTTAGCTTTTCGTAAAATTAAAAATACAAATAAAAATTAATATTTTTTAAGACTCATCTGATTTTATTTCAAATTAACAGTAATAAAGTATTAAAATCTCAGTTCTTTTAGCTTTTCGTAAAATTAAAAATATACCAATTCAAAAATAAGAAAATGTATGTCCAAAATTATGTATGTGTGTATGTCGAAATGCGTTTTAATAAAAATATTTTTATGATGTCTTCTGCAATAGATTCAGCAGGTTTATACAACATTTTGACTTCTTTTTTGTTTTGATAATGAATAATTAGCCATAATATTAACGTGACAAAATGATATTGTAAAAAGTAAATATAAAGGCTACTTATTCATCAAAGCAAAAGGTTGAACAATTTTATAAACCTGCTGAATTAATAGTAAATGATATCATTAACATATCTTTATTTTAATTTATATATAATTGTGACTATATATTATCTCGCTCTTGACGCTACAAAGATGACTGTGGTGAGGAAACAGGAGTTTATAACATAAATTTGTAATACTATCCCAGATAGCCAAACCTGCGCGAGCAGATTTCGAATAAAGTCTGCTATCATAGTTTGATGGCAAATAGGCAACAAATTTAACGCAGAATCTGTTATATCAAATTATGCCGCCAATCTGCGGTCAAATATGCGCCAGATCCTGTTATCAGATATTTGACGGCAGATTTGTAGCAAAAACCGCGCAAGACTTGTACTAATTTGACGGCAGATTGGCGGCAGAAACTGAGCAAACTCTACGCGCAGACTCTACGTGTAGTTTGGCAGCAGGACCTGCGCGGTTTCTGCCGACAATCTGCTCGCACGGCCTGTCACACAGGTCCTGTCGACAAAACACGAGCCTAATGAGGACACAGATGGCTATGGTTTTGATGTGGAGATCTGATCGAAATTGGCGTCAATCTCCGCGCATTCTGTTAGCATTTTGCTTACTGGGATATTACCCTCACAGCACCGAACATTGTAGTAACATTATGGGAAGGTTACTAACTTACACATTGTAGTGAGAATGTTGCTGGTATATACCAGTAACCTTACAATATAACCTTACATTATAATATTATTGAAAGCTTAATGGAAACTTATTTAAATATTTCAGCAACTTTACAATATAACCTTATATTATAATAAAATTGGAATGTAAATGGAATCTTATTGCAATCTTTTAACAAACAGCTCGAGCTGATTGCTAAAAGATTGCAATAAGATTCCATTAAACTTCCAATAATATTATAACGTAAGATTATATTGTAAGATAGAGATATATATATCAGCAACATTCTTATTACAATTTCGGAACGCAATTTCTTGGCCGCCTTATGGCTCTCGTACCTAGTATGATGCACGATGCGAAATGCGATATATGACGCGCGATATATCCAATGAGCGTACAGCTTTTCTGGAATACCGGTTTGTTCATTGAGTATATCGCTTTTCACGTTGTGCATCGCGCTAGCTACGGAAGCCATTATATACACACAGATTTTTATTGTCAGGCTGCTCTCTGCAAACAACAAAAGAAGGAAGTTATCCCGTACAATTTTGGATTTTGAGGTGTAGGCGTAGGCGAGGGATATAATCTTCAAGTCATCTGGACTGAATAAATCCTGGTAATAGGCAAACAATTATTTGATATTTAATTGTGTATACAGATACTTAGAGGTTAGGCTATCATTCGTGGTATTACCGTCAATAAGAAAGATAAAACCCGTAATTATGAGTGGAACATTAACACATAAATATAAAATATATTCGAAAGGTCATGTCAGGCGTTTAGCTAAATTAGAGGCTGATGCTTTTAGTAGAACTTTTGCACAAGAATGACAAAGACACAGTAGTGACAGTTCAACTAATGTAGAATATAATAAAGAACGAACTGCACAGACAGAAAACATAAGTGATAATATTGATTATATACCAAATCAATACATAGAACATGATATAGTTGATAAGATATTGCCCGTGTTTGTCGAAGCAGCAAATGCAAATAATAATGAATATGACACTGAAATGACGAATACATCTTTAAATAAAAACATAGATACAAATTTCAGAATAGCTATAGCTGCATGGTCATTGAAATACGGAATCACATACTCTGCATTAACAGCGCTCATGGAAATTTTAAATATTTTTACAAATTATACATTTCCAAAGGATTCTAGAACGATTTTGCAAACTCCAAAGCATACAGATATTGTCACCATGGGCGATGGTCAGTATTGTCATTTTAATATTGAAAATATACACAAAATGATAGCTGAGAGGAGAAAAAATGCTATAAATGTTTCTAAGCTTCATTTATTAATTAATATAGATGGCATATCAATATCAAGATCCTCAAAAGGTTGTTTTTGGCCTATCCTTGTATCTAAAAACCTATGTCGAAAAGTATATGTCGCAGGAATATATTATGGATATACAAAACCAAACGATGCCAATGAATTTTTAAGACGATTTGTATCTGATATGAAACCTGTAATAACAACAGGATATATTTATGATGATATAAGAGTCAGAGTAAACTTAAGTGCATTGATTTGTGATACACCTGCGAAATCATTTATTCTTTCAGTGAAAAGCCATACAGGATTTTTTAGCTGCACAAAATGTACTATAAAAGGTGAATGGCATGGACACATATGTTTTCCTGGTGTATATGAAAATATTTCTTTACGAACAGATGCAGAACTGGCGAGTAATAAATATATAGGAGAATACCAGCAAGGGGAATATATATTAAAAGAAATAGATAACTTTGGATTAGTTTCTTGCGTGCCACTTGATTATATGCATTTAGTGTGTTTAGGGGTAATGCGAAGACTAATTAGTTTATGGTTGAAACATGTATTTCCAAAACGAGTAGCCAACACCTTCTGCAAACGAGTTTCTCAACTGCTAAAAGATATAAGATCAACAGTTCCATCAGAATTTAATAGAAGACCTAGATCTCTTGAAGATTATAAACAGTGGAAAGCTACAGAATTGAGAACTTTTCTTTTATACTTAGGATCTATTGTTTTAAAAGATACATTAGATGGAGACATGTATAATAATTTTTTAACGCTTCATGTTGCTGTTTCAATATTATTAAACCAAGCTCTTTGTAAAGAACAATTTTATTTAAATTACGCTGAAAATTTGTTAAAACATTTTGTTAATTGTTTTGCAAAACTATATGGTAAAACATATGCTTCACACAATAATTTATTACATCTTGTCGCAGATGTAAGAAAATTTGGAGTATTAGATAACTTTAGCTGCTTCAGATTTGAAAATTATATGTCAACAATTAAAAAACTATTGAGGAAAGGAGACAAACCTCTGCAACAAATTGCAAGAAGATTTGGTGAAATAGAAACTGTAAATAAGAAAACAAAGACAAAAAAATCTGAATTAGTTTTGGAAAAGCAACACTTTGATGGCCCTTTGCATCAAAAAGAGAATATCATAAGTCAATATAAAACCTTGCGCAACTCATAATATATTATTCACTGTAATGATAAAAGAAATAATTGCTTCATGTTAGAAAATAAAGAATATATAGAAGTAGAAAACATTATTGAATATGAAGATAAAACAATATTTGTAATTGGAAAAACATTATTGGATGTACAAGATTTATACGACATACCTATCAAGTCCTCATTTTTACAAATAAAGATTATTAAAAATGATGGAAAGCAAACTTTAAATGCATGGAGCCTCAATAATATAGCAGCAAAAGTTTGGAAAATATCGTATGGCGGACAATTTGTCGTATGCCCTTTAATACATATATATAAAAACTAATATATATATATAACAGTTCAACATAATAAGCTGTAAATCTACTTTTAGTTTCGTGGGTTCCAATTGTAGTAAATATATAAGTAGTAAAATAAGCATAGTATAAGGGTGTATGCGTGTGCACATATATTTAAACATAGGTATGGGTGAGAAAGGATTTGTATATTTTTATATTCTGTTTGTCTCTTTCTATAAACTGATATCATTTTTTGGTGCATTCTACAATTAAGTAAGTTGTACTATAAGTATATACAGGGTGTTTGATAGCTGATCATGCAGACGAAAGTTGGAGATAGATTGGGTGTAGCCGAGAAGAAAAGTCATATACCATAATGTCAAATTGGCAATAGTTACCGAGTTATTAATTAAAACATGTGAGCCAACGAGCGCGTAGAGAGCGGAGGGCGGCCGCAGTAAGCACGTAGACATTTGATATAGGCGGAGTCAGTGAATGGCGGTAGACAAGCGCGCGCGGCGAGGGGCAACGTAAGCGACAAGAGGCGATCGCGCGCGACGAAGACCGAGCGAGCTTTTCCTTTATAGCTTTTTCCTTATAGCTCGCTCGCTCCTCGTTGTTCGCACTCGCTCGCTCTTCGTCGTGCTCGCTCGCCTCTTGTCGCTTGCGCTCGCTCGCTCCTCGTCGTTCGCGCTCGCTCGCTCCTCGTCGCGCGCGTTCGCCTCTCGCCGCGCGCGCTCGCCTACCGCCATTCGCTGGCTCCGCCTGTATCAAATGTCTATGTGCTTACTGCAGTCGCCCTCCGCTCTCTACACGCTCGTTGGCTCACATGTTTTAATTAATAACTCGATAACTATTGGCAATTTGACATTGTGGTACATGACTTTTCTTCTCGGCTACACCCAATCTATCTCCAACTTTCGTCTGCATGATCAGCTATCAAACACCCTGTATATGACCACAGCGAAAACAGTATCATAGAATTTGAGGATGGCCTGGCAATAGTGTCTTCATTTTGGTTGAACGACGATGGAACCCAATGTGCTTATCCCACGTTTCGGGATCCAATAAAAATAAAAAAAGCTGTTGTGTCTCATATGTCTCCCGAAGATAACCCGAACTGGAAAACATATAATGTATCAAGGATCTTCTGCAAAATAAGTGAGATTAATTTTTTTAATTATGCGACTATATTTATTATGTGTAAATGTATCGATGTATCTTCTAAGATTTCCGTCTATATTTTCAGATTTATACGAAAGAGCAAAAGAAAAACTATTCCTGGTTGAACAGTTTTCAGATGTAACGGCTGAAGAAGGCATAGAAGATGACATCAAAAGATACGAAAGACAAAAACAATCGAGGCATATGCGAACTAAAAAAAAATATTCTTCATCAGAGGAGTGCGAATTCGACTTTGATAGAAGTCAGAAAGTAACAAAATTACCACCTTTTCCGAAAATTCCAGAACAATTATACGCCTCAAAAGAAAAAGAAATGTACAAGTCAAAAGATATCTTCATTGTCACAACCGAAACGATCTAAATCTGAATGTCAAACAAATCCTATTTTACATACAACTCCATCCAAAGAAGCAACATTATGTACATTCACAGAATGGAATTATCATGATAATGCATCCGATTATAATGACAATGTGCAAGATACAATGAATAAAACGCATCAGAATACATCTATGAAAAGCAAGAACATAATGGCAGAAAATGGTTTGTGATATTAAAATAATATTTGTGTATAATGTAAATTATTTGTTATTATACTAGTGTTTATCATAATGAAATATGAATATACATCAATATTCTAAGCCAGAGCAAAATTGCAAAAAATAACAGAAAGCACCTCATAGTATTTAATATATATTTTGTGGTTATATTATATATCGCGCCACTGTTTAAAATTTATTCATTATTACAGAATTTCAAAAAGAGATTCTAAGGAAATTGCAATTAATACTATATAAAATAACTGCTGTAGAAAATAGAATAGTCATGTTGGAAACATCAAACATGCGGCTGATTAATAAGGAGGCAGCCGATGTTATACAGTATGAAGAATATAATATGCCACTGCAAAATTTGGCGGCGTTGCAACAATTGGAACAACTACAAGAAAACTTATTTGCAAATAAAATGGTAAAAATATAGCGGTGTATATTACAAGTGTAACAGATTATTTAATAATATAATATCTGCCAATGATGTATAAAAATTCTTGTCCCACAGGTACAAACGCTGAAACAAACAGGTGGAGTAAACTTGTCGAATATAATCCCGAATATTCTAAAAAAGATACTAACAAGGGAACTGTCAGGGGTGTCCCTCACCGATTTGATTCTCCTTGAAATATGTTATAAAACAAACAAATCAAAGAGACACGTATTTTTTTATATCGGCCCAATCTCATGTTTAAGGGATGAAACAACCATTTGAAAAAAAACGGTCTTTTTCTTTGAGATCGAATATTGTCGAAACTATAAGACACAAAAAAATTGTTTCAACAAAATTTTAATGGTTTGAAGAGTACTTTGAGGTTATGCAAAGAAAAATTTTTTTTATTAAATATTTATTTAACCACCACATCCACCCCCCTTTTTGCAAAATTAAAAATTTTTTTCACCAAAGTAAAGGTTATTTTTTTCCAAATTCAACTATGTATAATAAAGTAACGTTACGAGAAATCATTTTCGAGAATTAATTGTTATCGCCTCCGTATATACGCCTATCTATATACGTGACGATATGCCTATCGTATATACGTGACGATACGCCTATCAGTTCGTCACGTTCGTGGAAACAAAATGTGCACCGCCTAGTATATAAGGCGACCGTGTATCTAACGTGAGCGTATAATATTCACAGTCAGTATAGTCTTTATACTCTGTTCTTTTATTATACACCATCTTTATACTCTATCTTCTGTTATACTCACATCAGTGGAACTTGCTAAACCACGAGAATATGAGAACTTTCATGTGAGAGGTACGTAAATATTCTACGAGCTACTGTCTTTTACATATTTTTCTCGACATAAATATGTTTCCTTAATGTCTGGTGTATCGATGAAAAAAAGAAGAATTAAAATCGGTTAATATTTTGTATTGTATATTTTAGGTAAATGTTGAATATAAAATAGCTTTTACCCAATTATCGGAAGCACGTAAAAATTTTGAAGTGGTTGAAGTTAAGAGTAAATAGTTTTTATTATAACAGACAGCAAAGTTTAACATCCTTGGAAATGATTATTAATCCGCGTAACGTCGTTAGACTTTGATTGATGTCAATAAATTCAATATATCTAATATAAACGCCAGTAACTGAAGCAGAAATAGAATTAAAGGAAACATACAAAAAGTATTACTGGATAGCATTTTTCATTATAATGGGTTGGAAGTAACGGAAGAAATATATCTCGATTATGAAGAACCTTATAAATTACACAGTCCAGAAATAATTGAAGATGACGAAGAAGCATGGGGTGAAGATAATTTGAATTCTCAACCTCAATGTTCAAATGTTGACGAAGCTTTTGACAATTCTTATAAAAGACAGGCTGTTGAGTATTGGCGGAATAGAGATAATAAAGAAAATAATAACGATAGAACAAGGAGTCGTTCTCTAAAATCAGTGCAACATACATTTAAAAGAGTTTCATCTCTACGTCAGTTAAGACGATGGGAAAAACAATTGCAATCAGGTGGAAATCGTGTAGAAAAATTATCTTACATCTCCAAATTTACATATGGTAAATTTACTGCTGCTGTTGAATCAGGATTCATGGTTCATGATATTGATATAAAAAGATGGGCTTTGCAAGCTCAGGAAGAAATAGGAAATTTACATCCTATATTTAAAGCATCTCCCAGTTAGGTAGCAAGATTCAAAAAGTCCCGAATTGTTTCAAGAAAAGTTACGAAGTTTGTCACTAGAAGAACATTGGAAGATTCTGTTGATTTGCAAAAAACAACTGATGATTTTTTGAAAGCAGTGAAGCCTCTTATTGAACAGTTTGGATCTGAAAATATATATAATTCAGATCAAAGTGGTTTCCAATTGGAAATTCATTCTGGAAAACTATTGTCTAACGAAGGAGAAAAGAAAACAGAACGTGTCGTGCAGTCTATATCATCAACGACATATTCATACACGATACAACCAATAATATCGTGTGATGGCAAATCACACAATTGCTGTCACCTTTATTTATCATCTTTATTTATTATATGTGTTAAAAGAAGTTCATGGTAGATTTGGACCAAGAGTAGAAGAAAACTTGTTTAAACCAATAAATGTTATTGTAAAAGCATCGAAATCTGGCAAAATGACATCAGGTATAGATATCTTTTTATAACTATTTAATATTTTATTTAACAATCTAAAAGGCGTCATGAAAAAGCTATTAAATTAACATTTACATTTCTTACAGATCATTTTAAAATGTGGTTAGAAGAAGCTTATTTTCCAAACATTGGTTCTAATAGCGTTCTTCTTATCGATTCATGGACTGGACATTGCCTTAATATAATTTCGGATTTAACACCTTCGGGAAAACGTATTATTACTATGATAATACCAAAAGGCGCTACAGGAAAAATACAACCATTAGATGTGTATGGATTTAGAATTTGGAAAAATTTTGCTAAAAGATTTTCAGATATTGTTTTACTATTGGAAAGCGATATAAATTTGCATGAACGAAATAATATAATAAAGTTGCAATCACTGATACATAATCAGTTGTCATCCCCACGATATCACAACTTGTTTAAATATTCGGGGTAAAAGCGATTATACAGACGAAAGACCAGAAGAGTTTAAACACCCTGTACAGTTTAATTTTGACGAAACTTTAACTACATGTGACATCGAAGGTTGTAACAATATAGCGGTAATAAGAAGTTCGTGCTGTAAAAAGTCATTATGTTTGAAACACTTTTTCCACGAATATCATTATTGTAATGAGTATAATGAGAGCGAATAACTCTAAATATAAATTTATTATGTTTTTTTAATTATTAAGTACGTTTATGAATTATTGTGTAAACTACAAAATATAAAAGCATAAATATGTAAAAATATGTACGAAAATATTCGAAAATATATACAAAAACATCAGTCCTTAATCCCTATGAGCCATAAACCCTTCATTGGATGTACGTGTGATTTTTTAGAAATATTTTATTATTATAATTCACAAACGTTTCGGTCATATATTTGGCCATTAATGTGCTCTTTTAAAGCAAATAATTCTTCTCTAGTACTCTAAAGTTGTCTTCTTCATATTACGTGCGCTTAATATGTAATGTCTTTCCCAGGGAATCGCCAAAAGCCATTATATATTTTCGAATCTTATTAGTAGGTTCAGGAGCCCCACCGCGTTAGGACGAGAGGGTGCGTAAATGAAAAGAAAAGAATGAAAGAAAGAAAGAAAAGTTGTAAGTTATATAGAAAACTTTAAAAATTTTATTTGAAGCATTTTTTTATGTTTTACTGGTTGAACCATAATTACCTGCGCACATAGCACAGATAAGCGTATATACGGAGGCGATAACAATTAATTCTCGAAAATGATTTCTCGTAACGTTACTTTATTATACATGGTTGAATTTGGAAAAAAATAACCTTTACTTTGGTGAAAAAAAATTTTTAATTTTGCAAAAAGGGGGGATGGAGGTGGTGGTTAAATAAAAAAATATTTAATAAAAAAAATTTTTCTTTGCATAACCTCAAAGTACTCTTCAAACCATTAAAATTTTGTTGAAACAATTTTTTTGTATGTCTTATAATTTCGACAATATTCGATCTCAAAGAAAAAGACCGTTTTTTTTTCAAAGGGTTGTTTCATCCCTTAAACATGAGATTGGGCCGATATAAAAAAATACGTGTCTCTTTGATTTGTTTGTTTTATAACATATTTCAAGGAGAATCAAATCGATGAGGGGTACCCCTGACAGTTCCCTTGTAAGTGACCATCTTGCAGAGAAGTTTAGTTATTTGGGGCAACGAAAAAAATTTAACTTCAGTGCTTTACAACTGTGCTCAATATTAAAAAGTGAGTATTATTATTCACGAAATAATTCTATCCCCAGATAGTCTAACCTGCGCGAGTACATTTTGCGCAAAGTCTGTTATCTACATTTGATGACAAATAGGCCACAAATGTGATGCAAGATCTGTTACATCAGATCCTGCTGCTAAATTAGTGTCAAATATGTGACAGATCCTGCTGTCGAAAAGTTGCTACAAATTTGCAGCAAACACCGAGCAGAATTTGTAGCGACTTGACGGCAAATTGACATCAGTTTTATATTATTAGACATCATTTTGGCTTTCATATATTTCCCAAGGAGAACAGAGAAGTCAAAATGACGTCAAAATGATGTCAAGATATGGTCAAAATTTAGTTCATCAAAATGGCGTCAAAGTGCATAAAATTTTGATGTTTTCTTGACGTTATATTTATGTCACTATGACATAATTTTGACGCTTTTTTTACTATTCTAATTATTATTGGCATGATTGGTGCATTAAGATAGTAATTAATTATCATTATATTTGACTATTTAATACATTTATTATCAATGCCTATTAATTCAAGGAGAATAGTTAGTTTAAAATAATGTCAGTTTTATGTCATTTTTTGATAAAAATGATATCAAATTGACTTTATTTTTATTTTTCTGTTCTCCTTGAGAATATAATATACATATACATACACATACGTTATTGCACAGTAATGTAAACTAAATGTAATATATTGGGTGAGTGCAAAAGTTCGTGCGGAGTTTGTGAGTAAAAGTCACACAGTGATTAGGCAAACAAAAATCTTTATTCAATCAATGATATATTCTCCATCGTTTTCTATAATCTTTTCCCAACGTTCTGGCAGCATACGGATGCCTCGATCATAAAAACTGCGCGGTTTAGATTCGAAGAACGAAGAGACGCCGTTTTTTAAGGCCTCCAAAGAGTCAAAGTTTTTTCCATTTAAATAATTTTGCAATGACCGGAACAAGTGATAGTCAGATGGTGCGATATCAGGAGAATACGGTGGATGCGTTAAGGCATTCCATTTCAGGCTCTTCAGTTTGCGCAGCGTCTTTTTCGAAACGTGTAGTCTGGCGTTGTCGTGATGAAAGACGACTCCCTTGCGATTTGACAAAATCGGACGTTTCTCTTTTATTTCTCGATTCAGATTGGTTAATTGGCGACAGTACTTGTCCGAATCAATCGTTTCGCCAGCGGGGAGAAGCTCGAAATAGATTATGCCCTTGCAATCCCACCAAACAGAGAGCATCACCTTCATCGGGTGCAAACTGGTCTTTGGCATTGCGTCACCATGCTCACCTGATTGTTTCCATGTCCGTTTGCGCTGAACATTGTTGTAGAGGACCCATTTCTCATCGCCCGTCACTAGTCGATCCAAAAACGACTCGTTATTGAGCCGCCCGAGTAAACGGCTGCAGAAATTCGCTTGATTTTGTTCTTCTCGGTCAGCAAATGGGGCACCCATATATTGAGCTTCAAATCGAATCCCATCTTTTTTAAACGCGGAAAAGCGGTTGATCGGTCAACGTTTAGTGCTGTAGCAACTTCTTCTGTTGAAATTCGCGGATTATTGAGCACTAAAGTACGCAAAACATCGTCATCAATGTCAGAAGGTCGACCAGAGCGTGGCTCGTCTTCAAGGTTAAATTCTCCGCGCCGAAATTTAGCAAACCATTTTTCCACAGTTCGTTTAGCTGGTGCTTCATCCTGATAAACATCCTGAATGTTTTTTACGGCTGCGGCAACGTTTATTCCCTTCCGAAACTCGTAAAGCATAACATGCCGTAAATGCACCTTATCGATACTCATTTTTAAAGTGATATTTCTCGAAGCAGTTTGTATGAAAACAAATGATTTTTTTTTAATAACAGCTGAAGACGTCACCTTTCCAACGTTATATAATATGTAGATGGAAGTATTAATGACAACACTTTGCGACGCTTATAACTCCATGTATTGAAACTCCGCACGAACTTTTGCACTCACCCAATATAAAGCTAAATAAATCTTCTTTTAATATAAGGAACATATTTAACTTTAAAGAACCAAACACAAATTCAAAATAAAATATAAGAATATATTGTAGATAATAACACTTAATTTCAAAGAAAATATATGAAAAATTATGTTGATTTCTTTATTTACGTTGACCAGAAGTATTCAACCAGCGCTTTATGGAATCTTCAGCATGCTTCAACGATTGATTTTGAAAACGGCTCATTATGACACCTAAAAAAAGACGAAATTAAGTTATTTTTTCACTCCTAGTTAGTCACCTTGCACGGTAACCTTAATGTGACTTAAAATAAGCAGACCGAGTTTTACATAATGCTTTCCGTTATAACTTAATAACCAGACATCAAATGAAATGAATGAAACATTAACTGTATTAACCAAAGTGGAAATTAAAAATAAAAAACTGTACTTTTTAATAAACATACTAATAGTAAAAATTATTTTTTGCAAAGTTGCGTTCACCTAAATACTATAAAAATTTTTCTTTATAGAAAAAAGAAACGCAAGATAATTAATCACCATAATCATATTGAATTGTGACATTAAAAGTAAGAAATTCCATGAGTTTTCGTAGCAATTAACAATTTCTTAGATTTACTGAAATAATTAGATTTGTGCTACTCATATGCCATAGATTAATGTTAATAAAATATGGCAAAGATGGTTTTTTTATGCTTTTCTTAATTTTGTTTTTCTATATGTAATTATAATGCAATACATGGTTTAATTCTTCATAAGAGAGAGAGAGAGAGAGAGAGAGAGAGAGAGAGAGAGAGAGAGAGAGAGAAAGAGAGAAAGAGAGAAAGAAAGGGGCGAATCTTGAGAATAAAAAAACATAAGCACACTATAAAGACACTTACAAAACAAAGCCTCCTTAATCTGTGTTGCATAGAAAGAGATTTTCACTCCTCCAGTTCTTTTCCAGCTAATTAGTCTTGCAAGATCATTGTGCAATATGATGGACATAAGAGAAGTAGCAGCACTCCATTCATCAGAACCATCAACAATATGTGCATGTAGATAGCTGACCTTCAAAACGCAAAAATGTTCATTATAACTATTTCAAATGAAGCAGATTTGGATTGTTCTATGAATAATTCTTAAATTCTGTAACCTGTTATTGTAGTTAATGACAGTTTCCTTATTGTTGCGCAACTTTTCCCTACCATAAAAAAGTTGCGCAATAACGAAACTATCGTTAACTGCAATTACGAGATCGATATTCATATAGTCGGGTCTTACATATATTTAAGATCGCCTTAAGATTAGTTTTAAAATTCCATTCAACCAATAAAATGGCAAGAGAAACATTTTAAGACTGATCTTGAGACGATCTTATTTCAACGCAGCGGGTGACGTTTTCCAACAATCCAAAGAGATTAGCTACACTTACAAACTGAGAGTACGCAATTTTATTCTTCAAAAATTCGTTGAATTCTTCAAATGACTTCTTATCTCGTAATGGAAGAGGAGGACAATTTTCGGGTCTTTCTACAGTAGCTTCACCAGGAAATATTTCATTTAAGATGCAACGTTGGTTCATCAGCAATATATCCAGTTTACTTGATATATCTCGAAGCAAATCTCTATCAAGATTAGATACGACCGGTCCTACGGACATATTAATTAATGATTAGAAAGTTAGTATGCGTGAAACATACAAGGATTGTTCAAAAAGTAATGTCCCACATTTTTTTTCTCAGAATGTATTTATTCAAAATGGTTGAAAATATTAATAAATGTTTCTTTCACATACTATTTCTTGACATAGTCTTCATCAAATTGTATAGTCTTACGCCAATGTTACGAAGAAAAACCGGTACCGGAAAGGAATTGAATATTTCTTCAACGCTGGCATAAGGCCATACAAGTTGATAGAGATTATTTCGAAAAATGGTATGTGTAAAAGAAATATTTATTTATATATTTTCATCAAATTTCAATCATTTTGAATAAATATGTTCTGAAAAAAATGTTAGGTATTACTTTTTAAACAACCCTTATATATATTGCAGTTATATAAATTAGAATAAAGGAAATTATTACCATGAAGCTTCTTAAAATGGTTTAATGTTGTTGTCAGTAAATCGCGTTCTGCATTTGATAAACTTAATAAACGTATAACATATTAGGAAAAATAATATTTATGAAAACTATTTCTGAAGCGTGAGATTGTTGAGAAAATTAAATTACCTTGTGAATTTGGAGATGCTTGATTTTTCTCATTATCAACTGACATTAAAGTCTTTTTTTTTGTAAAACATCATCTTCATTTTCATCTTGTAGTTTCGCAGTTCATTGTATCAGATAAATTTTTTTATGTTCATTGTTCCTATCATCTGAATTAACATTAGAATTGTTATTTTATTTCCAATATTGATTGCATAAAATATAGTAGAAATATGAACATATTCACATTTATATAATTATAATTTTATATAAAGAGAGGAACTATGCAGCTGAGAGAGAGAGAGAGAGAGACAGACAGCCAGACAGATAGACAAAGAGAGACAGAGAGTGAGTGTCTTTGCCCGCGTGCGCGTGTCAAAGAGAGAAAGGCATAACATCTGCCATATATATTTTTTTTCAATGCAAGATAATGTACTGAAGAAAGTATAATAGAAAAAATATGAAATTATTTACATTGATCAAAGAGAGATAACTTTGCTTTGTTATTTTGGGAAGCATTTAGTTTCCTCCTAAAGAGATTCTGCTCCATATGTACAGACAGTGTGCTCATGAACATTGTAGAACTATTTGATCTTGATGTAGTAGGTTGTTCATCATCATCTGTACTCAATTGAGAAGATAAGTACTTTGGAGAAGCTATAACCGTCCACAAAATAAATTATACAAAAGCTTGCAGGAATAAAATCATCTATAATTAATATAAAAATATCGTTATTACTTGAAAATGTTACGTCCTGGAGGAGGAACGCAACTTGACGCTTGCTTTCGCAAGCTCCGACGTACTCGCAAATCTGCGGAACAGATCAAGGATCGGAATGACCCCTTTATCTGGCGCAGACGTACGTCGATGGTCCTTTATTTAGGTCAAGGAACTGAATCCTTTTACCTGGGATAGGACCGTGAACGACAGTTGAGGGAAGGGAGAATTTTTGATTGAGAATAATTATTTGGAAAACGTGATTGGTTTACAATTACAAACAACTTGTTTTATTAGTGATTAGACGGAAGTTCACAATGAAATAAAATTTGTAAGATTTTATAGTATGTCTGTATACATATGTGGTTAACAATCGCGCTCAGAACAATGATTCTCGATTACTCAGAACAATATTCCGTGTTCGTTATGTCCGACTGTGATCGAAAGGATTGGGCCACTGACGTCTGATTTAACAATTAAGGAGGAATGCCAAGGAGGATAGAAAACGGAAGTAAAACGAAAGGAAAAGAAAAGAGAGAGAAGAAAAGATAAAAAAAAATGAAACGAAAAAGGTCACTTAGGTAAAAGAAAATATAAATAACTTACTGCTGGACTTCTCTGATCTTAGTAAACAATGAAAGGTGTGATTGCTGCGTCTCTGTGAGGATGGACCCAAGTTGCGCCAAGAACTAGAAACTGGTCTCAGCAGGATCTCTCACAATGTCTCAAGGGTGCACGAGATCGTTGCACAGAAGAATAGATGACTGAAGAACACTGATCTGACTCACTAGTAGGGTTGGTTATCAAGAAACCCTGAAGGGGTGTTGGAGAGAAGACTCTGTCCTGGCTGCGGGTCGGTCGGGAGAAAAATAGAAGTGGCATAGCTTTTTTACTTTACCAAAAACGTCACCTCGGTCGAGAGGTGGGGTTTGGGAAGTTGCGTCAGGCTCCAAAGTTTATGTCCAAATATGGGTATAGGATTTTGTTGCAAACTTTTCGGAAGTGGGGTTTTAGTAGGGTTCTTAGATAAATATGATAAAGGATCGGGTATCTATGGCAGTAAAAGATTTCAAGGTTTCGCTAGGGTTAGTCAGAGGTTGTGCGCGATAGGAATTTATGAATAACGTGGGAAACGCGTGAGTTTCCGAAGATCAAAGGCTGGCAACATCATATAACAGCATGAAAGATTGTCTGGTCGGTCCGTCTTCAAAGAAAATTATTGCTCCGAACGGGAAGTTATTCAAGGTTATTTGGAAAGGAGGTATATGGCCAAAATGACTCAATGGATCCTTTCCGACGGAAATAGAGGAAACTCTGGTGATTAACGCAGAGAGAAAAGAAAGAGAAATCTGTGTGTGTGACGTCACAGTTCTCGGAGGGTCGCGGAATGTGAACATTTGGTAGTATAATATAAAATGCAATCCGCCCCACCCGACAACAAATTCAAGGTACGCGGAGTCCGCAGGACGTAACAAAAATGACAACTTACTATCAGAAAAATTAAGATAGTTCTCTTTATCTAAATGTTGAGAGATGCTATGCAATTTTCTAAAAGGTTTTGTCTTGTTTGACTGCAGTGGTTCTACGATTACTTTGTCCGATATTTCTGTATTACAATCTTTAGGAGAACAATATTTTTGTTGTACAGCTAAAATTATAAAAAGACTATAAAACTGTACAATTACGAAACAGATGAAACAGATTTTTATTAAATTTAATTCTAAAAGCACATAAATAATTATTATTTATGAATATACATGTACATATTCTCATTTAGTAAAGAATGCTGCTTTATCCTTTTTCCTCTAATGTAATGTTATAGTGAGTTAACTTTAAATGGCCTGATGACTTAACACTTGATTCATTACAAGATAATGATTTTCCTATAGATGTGTCTTTTTCTATTGACTGTTTAGTAGATATTTTCACTGATTTATTTTTAATAAGTTCTTTGAATTTATTTGGAAGGAGAGAATTTGGAGCAGGTATTTCAGTGCTTGTACCACGAGGGATATGTAATGCAGGATTGTCTAATTCTTCATCTTCTGAAGAGGATATATATCTTTTATTCTTTTTTTTCTTTCTTGGTTGGTCATAATCTGTTTTCACATCTGTTCGAGCAACTTCTCCCTCTAGAACAGTTTTAGCCGCTTTGAGAGCAGCATTGTAAGTATCTACAAGTAAGAAAGTACATAAAAATATAACATAGATACATATGATACTGAAACTTATTTGTTAATATAATAAAGTGCAATTATATTTTAGGTATATCGGCATTGAAATAACTCTGTATTTAAAAGTAAAATATATGGTAATATATCTGAAAAAGCTATGAAATTATTATAATAATGATGCAATCGAAGATTATAAATATCCCAATCTTGTCCTGGGTCGATTCTTGACAGAATCAAACGAGTAGTTTTAAGTTTATCTTTTTTAGGTGGATATTTGCACATAGTACCCATACAGCACAGAAAGATTGCAGCAACATTGCAGCAATCTTGTTTTGCAAGATTGTATCATTGCAACATCATTGCAAAATGTTACTGCAATGGTGCAGCAATATTGCAGCAACATTAAAATGTCCGCTTGCAGTAATATTGCGTTGCAATGGTGCAGCAATATTGCATTATAATAGCGCAGCAGTATTGTACTGCAATACTGCAGCAATATTATTATATACTGCAATACTGCAGCAATATTATTATATACTGCAATAATACAGCAACATTCTGTTGTAATATTGCAATAACAATGTTATATAATATATAATATGCAATAAAGTTACAACTATTATGCCTATATATATACGTGTGTGTGCGCGTGCGCGCGCGTGTGTGTGTGTGTGCGCGCGCGCGCGTGTGTGTGTGTGTGTGTGTGTGTGTGTAGAGTGGCGTAATAGCTGTAATATACAAAATTAAACAATATAATATTATATAGCTCTAACTATAGCTCTAATATATGCAACTAAACCATTCTAAAACACATGTATTCAACATTTTGTAATTATACAATTCTATATAACATAATTATGTCTTAATCTTTTTTCCACAGATACCAGCAGATGGCAAAATTGTCAGTATAACATTATTGTGATATTAAAAGTCCGCTTTTTATTACATCTAAAACGAAATATAACAATTACGTCAATGTTATATTTTGTTATAAAAATGTAATAAAATGCGGATATTTGAATATTATCATAATAAAAAGCGAATCGAAATAGCATATAGTCTAATCAATTTTCAAAGTGAAATCCGGGAAACCAAATAAATACCCAAGAGATATATAGTCTTATCTGTATGCATTGCTTACAACACCTGTTGCAGGGTGTAGTCTATGTATATACTTACCATATATAGGTCGACAAAATACAATTTCTGAGTACGGTGGTTCCAATGAGATCTTTCAGAAAGGTTATAAGGCTCCGTCAGTTTCTCAACACACACATTTGTGTCATCTGCAACTTGACTAAATAAAATATAAAGGGACGAATTGTAATATTTTACGGAGTGAATTGCGTTGCAAAACGATATTTACATTGCCATTATATGTCGATAAGCGTTCTTTCTCGTTTGAGATGAAAATATGACTGCGATTTAGATCAGTTTGATCGAAAGACGTTACAATAACGTCTTTGTTACAATAACCAAATGTATTTACATACCTCTTTTCTCCAGTTACGTAACAGACACTGTAAGGAGATTCCAACTTCCAACTAAAGAGCCTCAAAGGGAGAGAGTGGCAAACTGATCACGTGACCAGGTCTCTGCTAATTCGATGGAGACACAAACCCTTCTTCACCAATTAGAATATTGATATAGCATGACGACAAGCTGGTTTTACAATAAGTCATAGAGTTAAGACCGACTTTAACCCTAACTAGTCTAACATTCGGTGATTTAAGCCGTAAGCTTTAAAAATCGGACAATCGTAGTCAAATTTTTTTTTAACATCTATCAACGAATAGAGGTTAAAAGAGGAGATAAAAGAGGAGGTTAAAGCGTTTAGCGTCGCATAGGACATTCGTCCACGGATATTTAATTGTTATTGCAAATTAATATCTTTGCAATATAGCTGTAATATTGCAGAAATAATATTGCACAATATTGTTTTTGCAATTTTGCTGTAATATTGCACTGCAATATGCAATTTTGCAATGTTACAACAATGTTGCTGCAGCTTCTGTGCTGTATGGGTATTGTTATCAAAGAGCCATTTAAAAGGAATTACTTCTATTAGTGTCTCAGATTCGTCACATGAATCATTAAATTCCACAAGTGCAAACTGAAAAGAAAAATAAAACATTGGCCTACAAGATAATATAATTTGTATAATAAAATAAAAAAAATATAGAATTTGTTCTTACTAGCATTTTAATGATTATTGCAGTGTACAAAAGGAATGCATAAAAATGTTTCGTTATTGTCCGGAAAAAGAATGCATTTACAAAAAAAATGTTTAATTTTATAAGCAGTTCTTTCGCTTTCTAGACGAGAAACTTTAACAATTCCAAGTTCTGAAGATGCAATAGGAAAATTATAATAATCTTCTTGTTCTAAAAACCTACATCCCAGTAGAAAAATATCATTTTGAGGTGTTCGGATGATCATATTCAAGATTAAAATTTTTCCACATTTAGTTTTAAAGCAGCTATTTGTGTTTACATTTCTCTAATATAGAAAATACTATATTTAGTATTGTATTAAATATTTGAGATCAAGTATAACCTAAAATATAACCTAAAAATATGACCAAATATTTTATTAAATAAAATAGATTGTAATGATGAAAAGAGATGTGTCACAAGGAACAAGTACGTAAAGAAAGAGATAATAGTATTAAGTTAAATTTTATTGTGCAACTCAATGATTACCAGAAAAACTAATATAAATGTAAAACGAGATTCACTTACCTCTCTCTTCTTTAACTCTTTCGTCATTTTCATATTATTTTTATATTATTCTCTTTTATTATATTTTTCCTAATAGAATCGCATTTTTTTGACAACACCAGTCATTTTCACACTTTACTGCCTTCAGTGAATGTAAGTGTAGTTAGCTTGCGAACAAGTGAAAATAACAGACTACATATACATGTCATATGTATTCGAATACCATTGGACCGTGGCGTACGAACTTAGCCAATAAGATGTGAACAATAAGCGAATCAACAAATCATCATCAATTATTCTTATGGTCGAAAAATTTGACTCTGATCGACCAATTTTCTTAGTACCCAGCAAGAAATGAATATCGTATCGAAATCCAATTCAATGTTCACTGGAATATTTAGAGCCGATATTCATAGTCTGATCTTATATTTTAGTTTGAATTTCATCTTCCAATTCTGTACGATTCATTTTATTGATTACACAATAACTGAAGATGAATTTAAGACGATCTTAAATAATATCCAATAAAGAAAACAATTAAGCTAGCGGCACACGATGCTTATTGTTTTCGTGCTGGATTGCTTGCTGGATGAAAATACTGCGTTCTGATTGGTGCATTTCCATCCATCTTCGAAAATATACCAATCACAACGCAGTATTTTCATCCAGCAAGCAATCCGGCACGAAAACAAGCACCGTGTGTCGTGGCTTAAGAAAAAAGATTCAAAATTTTATATTATTTTAAACAGCAACTCAGAGCAACACTCTTTTGAACACAAATGTTTAAGAATACAATTGTATCTGAATGGTCAAACTTTAACCTTTTTCTGACTATTGTTATATCATACATTTTCATAATAATACGCATACATATATAACTAAAAAAATATGCCGCAATATCTGAAACTAAAAAAACTCAATAAAATGAGAAATCAATATAAAGTCAATTTTAAGTCATATGAAATTGAGATTTTATTCATGACCAAATATTGACGTAAATGTGATTAAAATGACGTCAAATTGACTTCATTTTGACTTTTCTGTTCTCCTTGGGTTTGTTCTATTTGAGTGCAGTTTCTGTTACAAATTTATTTACATTACTCATCAGCAGACTCTGCTGCTTTTCTGGTGACAAAATTTCATATAACAGATCCTGCATGCCATTTATCACTTATCTGCTACTAAATATTTATAGCAGGCTCTACTCGCAATTTCTTGATTAGGTTGAACTATCTAGGAACACGTATTCAATGCAGAGGGATCAAGAATCTTATAAATTAATACTTTTAAATTAATTGTACATTTAAACGTTAATTTTATACAGGGTGTTTGATAGTTGATCATGCAGACGAAAGTTGGAGATAGATTGGGTGTAGCCGAGAAGAAAAGTCATGTACCATAATGTCAAATTGGCAATAGTTACCGAGTTATTAATTAAAACGTGTGAGCCAACGAGCGCGTAGAGAACGGAGGGCGGCCGCAGTAAGCACGTAGACATTTGATACAGGCGGAGTCAGCGAGTGGCGATAGGCAAGCGCGCACGGCGAGGGGCAACGTAAACGACAAGAGGCGATCGCGCGCGACGAGGAGCGAGCGAGCTTTTTCTTTATAGCTTTTTCCTTATAGCTCGCTCGCTCCTCGTCGTTCGCGCTCGCTCGCTCTTCGTCGCGCTCGCTCCTCGTCGTTCGCGCTTGCTCGCCCCTCGCCGCGCGCGCTCGCCTACCGTCACTCGCTGACTCCGCCTGTATCAAATATCTATGTGCTTACTGCGGTCACCCTCCGCTCTCTACGCGCTCGTTGGCTCACATGTTTTAATTAATAACTCGATAACTATTGCCAATTTGACATTATGGTACATAACTTTTCTTCTCGGCTACACCCAATCTATCTCCAACTTTCGTCTGCATGATCAGCTATCAAACACCCTGTATAAAATAATATTAATATCGATTTTATTTATATTTGTAATTGACAGAAGTGGTACGAATTCATAAACCGGAAGCGAATGATACACAGATTGCCGAAATCACATCGACCTGGCTAGTACATGCTAAATGGCGACTGCAAAGAGCAGAATATGTATATTTATTAATAATAAGCATTATGTGACAGTTATATTAAATAATTATTACGTGTATTTTTCATATACATATGCCCATCGGCAATGACAGTCGTGATTATACAAGTTGAAACAGTTTTTAGAAAATTGTAGAACGCACTACGATGTTACACCCATCATCATCGATTCGTCCCCTTCTAGGTGGGAAGAAGTAAGTCCGAAAAATGCTCACCCTGTTTTATCAACTATGAATGCCGTTACATGCAGCGCAACTGACGTAAGTGTAACTAGCGCCGACTAATCATTTTTTTATGAGTTAATATTGAAATGAGACAATATGATTGGTCATGGACATGGGATATGGACAATATGATGCAAATTATACTTTATGTGAAAGCACCCTGAGAGACATATACGTATATGTCTCTCTCACATCAAAGCTACTGGATAAAATAGGGTGAGCATCTTTGAACTTACTTCTCCAAACCTAATTGGGGACGAATCGATGACGGGTGTAGAAGAAAAAGGGAATCGCTCGCGAATCTACGCAGTAATACAATATTATAACAGATGTAGCATTATATAAGCTCTTTATATAATGTTTCTACCGCTCTAATATCGCATCACTACGTAAGTTCGCCAAGGAACATACATATACAGGATGTTAGCTGATCATGCAGACGAAAGTTAGAGATAGATTGGGTGTAGTCGAGAAGAAAAGTCATGTACCATAATGTCAAATTGGCAATAGTTACCGAGTTATTAATTAAAACATGTGAGCCAACGAGCACGTAGAGAGCGGAAGGCGGCCGCAGTAAGTACGTAGACATTTGATACAGGCGGAGTCAGTGAGTGGCGATTGGCAAACGCGCGCGGCGAGGGGCAACGTAAGCTTTTTCTTTATAGCTTTTTCCTTATACGAGGGTGGTCCGATAAGTACTTAGCCTACAAAAGAAAAACGAAAATTTTGGAAAAGTGGCGATTTATTTCTCAACATAGTCTCCTTTTAGCTCGATATACTTGACCCAGCGATGCTCCAACTTCTTTAACCCGTCTGAAAAATACGTTTTCTCGAGGTCTGCAAAGTAGGCCTCCGTGGCGGCGATGACCTCCTCATTCGACTCAAATTTCTGCCCGGCAAGTGACTTTTTCAAGATTGGAAACAAAAAGAAGTCGCACGGGGCCAAATCTGGAGAATACGGTGGATGGGGCAGCAGTTCGTAGCCCAATTTGACCAATTTGACCGTGGCGAGGGCGGAGGTGTGAGCCGGTGCGTTGTCATGGTGGAAGAGCACTTTTTTCTTCGCCAAATGGGGCCGTTTTTTCTGCAATTCGGCGTCGAATCGGCCCAATAATTCGGCATAGTACAGCCCTGTAACCGTTTTGCCCTTCTCCAGGTAGTCGATGTAGATCACACCTTCTGAATCCCAGAAAACGGTGGCCATCACCATCCGGCCGATAGGACAATCTTCGCCTTCTTCGGAGCACGTTCGCCGGGTGAAGTCCACTGTTTCGACTGTTCCTTGGTCTCTGGTGTGTACCAGTGGATCCATGTTTCGTCGACGGTCACGAAACGACGCAGAAACTCCCTCGGATTGCGCTTAAACAGCGTCAAACACTGCTCTGAAGTGGTCTCACGGTTGCGCTTGTTGTCCGGAGTGAGCAAACGCGGCACCCATCGCGCCGACAGCTTTCTCATGCAGGATATGACCCACGCGGTCTTTTGAGATGCCTACTGTCTCAGCTATCTCGCGCACCTTCAATCGGCGGTCTGCCAATACGAGATCGTAGATTTTTGTCATGTTATCCTCCGTGGTAGTCGTTTTCGGGGCACCTGGGCGTGGCTCATCAAAAACCGACGTGCGACCACGTTGAAACTCGTTAAACCAATTTTTGATGGTCGCCATCGAAGGAGAAGAGTCACCGTACACAGCATCCAAGCGTTCTTTGATTTCGCTGCGCTCGCTCCTCGTTGTTCGTGCTCGCTCGCTCTTCGTCGCGCTCGCTCGCCTCTTGTCGCTTGCGCTCGCTCACTCCTCGTCGTTCGTGCTCGCTCGCTCCTCGTCGCGCGCATAATTTAAATCCTTTATAAACCACAAAAACGTATAAAATTAATTTAAGAGTTCCATCAACGAAACTCATTAAGCATAGAATAATAATATTATGACATAAATTTTATCGTTTTCTACCGCGCAATATATTATAACAATTATGTATTATATACAACATATCCCAGTCAGAACCACAACGTTGATTCGATGTCGATGAAGGTTG